CTTCGTACTTCCTGGAAACCAAACCACATCATCATTAGTGAAAGAACGAAACGAGAGAAAAGTACGAGCTCACCCAACATTCCTCCGATGAACCAATATCTTGCGAAGAACGAATAAGGTGAACCCGCACCCTAGGACGATGATTTTGAAGGAATATGACATGGTGAGAGGAGGTCGTTCGAGTAAAAGGGAGGGTGCGTTACCACGCTTATCTTATATACTCAAGTACGACAGCTTACACCAGTTTAAGCTAAGCACTCGTATCGGTGGGGATAAGTCGTACCAAGAATCCATCATCGTATTCACGTCTTCGAGCAATCCTATGATGGGAACGAACCCTTCATCTTTCGCCGTATTACCGGCAGTAGGTAACGTCGCGACGGAGAATCCCAATCATATAGAGCTGATTTCTCATACAATTTGACACGTTCGAGTAAAGAAAGCATCTGAGCGTAGATCTTTAGAGGAGCCCGAGCGAGCGAAAGAGATTCGGCCTCATACCAACTTCTTACAATCGACCATTTATCAAGTGGCTGAGCTTGGACGGGGAGAGGCTCCACAGAAGTGTGGACTGCCGTGGCACGGCAGTGCCTAACGACCGGTTGTAATCCTCTATAGAGAAGGGGTTCAAAGTTCGGGAGGGTGTCGATTTTTGAAACATCTATGATCTATATGCCCGTCGGCGAGTTCACCGAAGACCCATTACGCAAACCGAGACGCTGAGATGTTCCCCATCAAATTCGAGAATATATTCGTCCTCAATGAATACGGAAAGCTGGATAACGAGTAAGCTCTTCTCGCTGGGATCGGACTCCACAACCCTTACCTGTCAGCGCCTCAGCGCTTGAGAGGTGCTGGCCCAACTAATAGGTCCGCTCCGCCCGGCTCAGACCTTATTCGGGGTCATGAGCGAGGATCCCGCCCCATCACAACACTGATGTGCCAATCGCCAGTTCTGACCTAGAGATCGGCTTATCTGCGCGCAGGTGCGCGATTCGTGACTGTAATTATTGGTGATTAACATCCTTTGACATCCCTAGATTACCAGAAGGAATAATCAATCAAACGGCCGAACTAACCTTTATTTTTGTCGTCCGTTGATGAGGTAGCACGCCGTAAGTTCCAACTACACCTCTTTTCGTGTGGATCAGATACAGCGCTATTCAGCTGCGGGCGGTTGAACTTGGGCCGAAGTGATACATGGTGAGCTGGCGACGGAGAACCAGACGAAACGTGAATAGCCTCACGACCAGAGGTAATACGAACCATTTAGCGTAGCTCGTTTCGTTCCAAGATGAGATTGGTCATGTCTATGATGTACTCTGAGAGGCACGCAACGATGTAAGTTGGAGATCCCTACGACAATGAGATAGAGAAAAACGCACAAATCGCCGGGTACATGACCTAGTCCAGTTAAGGGGCATGGTCGTCTTGAGTGGAAATTGAAAGCAGTGTAGGACAGTCGCGATACCGCTCTCCAGCTACTGTAGAACTGTCGTCGAGTCTCGGTTGCAAGGTAATCCTAAAACCGCAACTATATTGTACTGCGGACTACTCGTTTTATCTCCGAAGGTTCCAACAAAACCAGTTCGGCATCGCTGGAAGATCCCTCGGCCCGGTTGGAGGTATGCGATTCGACGCCATGAGGATCCTTTCTTCGCCCCCGGGCTGGAAGCGGCGTGCATTGAGTCCTACTCCACGAGCGCAGCAGCTTCCATGAGACCGACCAACTTTGAAGCTCTGACCCGAAGGGCAGAGAATGGAAAGACTGCAAGGTAGAACTATGTGATGACGCCTGAAGATCATTCAAAGCGATGTTCGACTCCGGAGCATTCAATGGTGAGGCCATCTCCAAGTCGGCTTGCGACATTGACGGTGTCTGTAAGAGTTCTCAGCCATTGCATGCTTGAGTATTCCACACTGGCTCCACAAGAGATCCTTCGAGAGCCTGTTCTTCATCTCGGTCGGCAGTTCCGAACCATGTTGTGAGGTTTGACGTGTGGGAAGTGGACAGTGTGAGGGCTGAAGCAGACTCGGGCGCACGCCTTGGATACCGCCGGCAACAATTGGTTCTGTAATCGGTGTGCTGGAGGTACTGTGACTCCCGGATCGACTGAATTCTCACAAACCGAGGCTTCCCTTCGATGGATCTGTTGATCTCGGAATGTTGAAGACTTCAGTAGAGCGATATAAGGCTATTTCTGTCTCGTCGATATTATTAGTTAGGTGGAAATGATGAAAATAGAACTCAAAACGCACGCTACGCGATTTCTCGGATATTCCGAACCTTTGTAGGTGAACTCGTGGAACTTCATAGAACATTCAACTCCTGGTCGCGTGCTTTGATTCCTCTAGTCGACCGCTTCTTCAGCAGAAGTTCTTCTGTGATTCTAGCCGACTCTTTTACGGAAAGATGAGAAGGTGAAGCTCATGCGTAGAGCAAAGAAGTTCTTCACGTACCAAACGTACAGTTCGTCTCGTGAGCAATCCCGTTTCAATTGAGATCGCCGTGCTGCGAAGTCGCTCGCGAGCTTTCTACACTTCACTATGCCACTCCTATTCTTCCGAATTTGCGGTGTTATCTGAACATATTTCACGAGAGGAGCACTCTATCGTGTGTGGAGGATATGGCAGCAACGCGCGAGAACATGGGAGTGGAAGGACAAGACGCGACGGGCGCTTGCACAGAATTACCCTTAACCTCTTTCTTCCATGGACCTTGCCGTGTAATACACTCCTCCTCCATGATCATCTGACTCACCGCCCCTTCACTCCTCTAAGTCCCTTGAGTCTCGACTTCCTCATCAACTAGTAATCAAACCTCTAGTGCGAGGTGTTGGCGATATCTCGTCTGTTCACCCTCTCAAACCTTTTGTTACATCGGCCGCGGTCCTCAAACCTTTTGTTACATCGGCCGCGGTCCGAAAACCGACCCACCTGACATTTGCGGTATTTTGGTGCCCAAGCGTCTTCATGCTCAAACGTCTTCTGTTCTGCTGCTTAACGGGTATCAGACGGTCTGTTCACAAGCTCGGGATGGCAACGAGTACCACGAGTCAAGTCGACGTAAAGACACTGCTCATCAAGATGGAAAAGAATCAATCCTGGCATAAAAAGGACGAAGAAGACCCTTTCTGATTATCCCAGGGTATAGAGCCTGAACGTTTGAACCATGTGGGAGAAGAACTCGTTCTTCTCAAACATCCGCTTGGTGAGTTGTTTTTACGTCGACTCACAGTACCAAACATGACAAGCTCGCTTCAATTTGTAGGACCAAGGGCGAGCTGGTCGAGACCCGTCAGGTCGCTCCGAACACTATCAACTACGCGAGCAGAAATAATCGGCTGGAAAGGGCACTGAGTGGAAAAACACGCGATTTTGGAACTTAGACCACGGTACAAAATGAACAAGAATAGCCTCCAACAAATAAGGACAGAGTTTTCGGATCGACTGTGCTGTACAAACGGGAGAAACGCGGTAAATCCCTGTCTGAACTATCGGTGGCCTGGATGATTATACGTATACAGCAGGCATCTTGTCATTTTGCGGCAAGCGAGGAGCTTATGATCTCAGTACGCCACTTTATCTCTCCACGCTGCGAACTTGCATTCTAAAACGGTCTACTTTTCTTCCGCCCTGGACAGAATCCACATATATATAGTCGAACTCTCAATCAGACCCTCAAACATCTCTTGTGCGTTCAAACGCTTCAAGTACCCTTCCACATCTCTCTTCCTTGCAATTTCCCATTCTCTGTTCCTCCGTCATGAAGGGTTGTCTGAAAAAGACTGTCACCACCTCCAGCCCTCACAACAAGTCCGCCCATGTTTCATGGTGCAACAAAGATGATGGAGGGCTCGAACATGTCCATACTGCAGACGACTGGGACAGAACCGCTGTCGAGCCTGCACGTCAGCCATTGAGTTACGGGTAGGTCATCCTAATCGTTTTTTTCTCCCGCGTGGAGCTTCTTTCGCGTGCTCACGCCCACTTTTCTCTTTTTCCTTGCTGCCCAGTGATATCCTGGAGCTCAAAGCAATACAACGGAGTCTACCTCGCGCCGAACAGCCTCCAGACCCATTTTCCGGAAAGCCTGGCACACACTATCTGTCGAAAGTGCCAATAGCATTATTGCCCCTGGGACCAGCGTGAAACAGTACATATGCCTCGCCGCGATCCGCTCGCCATCCATTTATGATGTATTGGCGGCAGGTTGATGTCGATAGCGACGCTACTACTCTGGCGAGGTTCTCCAAAATACCAAAAATTTCCGCCCAGGCTCTCCACTTAGCCTCAAAAACCCATATTCATCCCACTCCACCTCTATTGCCAAGCTCACCGTGCTCTCGGCCTTTGCGCTGTCGTCCTGATCCACAGCCTCCCACATCTTAATGGCCCCTACTCACTCACCCCTCGACCCTAGCCTGTCCGTTATCCACGCTGGTTCCACGAATTATTGAACGACAAGGAGGTCTAGCCTTTCGTTGGTCGAGTCCGGTTCTCTCTGGCTCAGGGCACTCTTGACCCATGAGAGATTCCAGGCGAAGGAAGAGGGTTGGCATGCCAGAATCCCTTAGTCCGTTCGACTTTATCTTCTGGGATGTCGGACATAGTGCGGCGGTCTTAACGTTCGTTGTTCTTCGGTTTTCTTGCATGAATTGCTTGCCAGCGGAAATATTGTTCCTCCACTGTTTTTCGCGCGTTTCTCTGTCTCCTCTTCTCCCGCATACACATAGCCTTGCATCTACGCACCATACATCTACCGCATATCCACAGTAATACCCCTCATTGCACCTTACCGCTCGATTTTTTCCTTCACATACCTATCATGGCCCCCCTGCATCACTATCTACCATCGCATGAATCACCAGAGTATTGTTTGTATCCTTATATGTAGTCGTATCTCGCGTTATCCTCATTGAATCACTAAACTTCCGTCTCAGTCCTACACACTCCGCAGTCGATCTGAGGTGATTTTGACCTTGTGGTTTTTCGTTGTCGGTCTAATAGTGTAGTGGTTATCACAATGGATTCTGATAGTCCTCTGCCGTGTAGTGAATTCCATTAACCCAGGTTCGAGTCCTGGTTAGACCTATGGTAAATGGATACGTCCCTTTTTGTTACGACTGTTGGAGCTAATTTGGACTCGCGTGGTCTGTCATCTGTTGACGCTCATCCCTGCTCATTCTCCTGTCACAATCACCCTGGCACAGACTCGATTCGTCACACGCAACGGCGAGAGTTGGTGTTGGCTTTGAGCTATCACTCCCGAACCTCGTAACCCACTCAAGATTCTTACTTTCAAGATACGAGACTCGCCGGGTCGATTTTTCGAATCCTATTGGAGAGATGGGAGACTGGCGTAAGTTCGGTCAACCAGTCATGCACATGGAGTGCATCTCAAAGCGAATGAACGAACACTTCTGGTGCGTTATCCATGATTTGTCCTTCCGGTGGATATTTACCAGATCAGCTTCGATTCTTGGAGGTGACTCGAAAAACTGGACGGAACATCTGCTCTTGTGACTACCATGAACTCCGCCGGAAAGCCCGATGGTATGGATATCTTGGAGATTTCTACCGCAGATTGGGAACGCAATGCCAAGAGAAGAAAGCTGGGGTGGGTTTCAAGGGCGAAAACCTATGACAACAGTATTGGAACCGTCGAAGTTGAGGTCAACATGGCGAGTTGCTATTCTCCATATCCTGAACTCGATTGTTGAACATCTATGTTTATAGTAAGGTTATAGTGAGATTTACTATACAAGCTAGAGGAACCCCTCCAGTCGATCAATCAGATTGTGTACCCTCTTTCTGCGCGGTGATCACCCCTTGAGCGATCAAGGAAGAAATTGCTTTGCAACGAGAACGAGTCAGAGCCTTAGGGGGGAAGCCTTCAGTTGGGTCGGGTGAGTACTTAGTCCTGGCGTGTTACTTTGATTCACTGATTGCAAAGGCTCTGATTACGCAGCTTCGTTCCTGCCCTATTTGGCTCTAGGAAGACTCAGACCGGGTATCAAGGGAAACACGCTGTTACCAGAACGACCCGCTATTCCTCTAAAAGGTTGCATTGAATCTCCGAAGATGTGAAACGACCTGGAGACTTTTTGATATGATCATCCAGCGCAGAACGACAGGCTTCGGATTTTCGCACCTGCATGTAGTCCATAGTAATGAAAGACTTTTACCCAGTACCGATCTCCAGGACCACGAGAACACCGAAAACTAGGATATGTGACTCGTTCTCGACTCAGTCCTTCCTTTTGCTCCTGATTTGACACCTGACGCCTGACGTGGTAGAGAGGTAGTTCCGAATAATAGCACGAGCTTTCTTCCCTGGCAACTGGTCAGAGGGAACCTTCGGAGCTACATGATGCGGTGAGTAGTCTTTTCTATCGGATTCATTGTCGTCGACAACGAGATTAAACAGAACCTATAAATGTTTTAGTGGCGTGCGCCCGTTCTACCGAAAACGAACGTCCTGGAGCTCAAATATAGCAACACCTCCATTCACCCGACCTATACTACGCTATGCTCCTGCTCAAATCCATCACTGATGGACGCTAGCAAAATACTTCTAAAGCTAATCAGGTGCGCCATCCTCCATTGAGTAGATGCGACTTTTGGGTCTGTGTGTTCAACAGCTCGGTGAGAGGCCGTGTGTTGACTTAGCAATGCAAGCTCAAACGCCAGAGCCACAGCATGGATCACATCGCAACGAGTTACTCATTCTCTGCTCGATTTGAGGTAGATCAATGATGAACTTGGAAGTAGGCAATAGGTGAGGATGCTCTAGCGCTGAGGCCAATGAATGTAACTAATTTTGGTGTCTTCAGTGCAGATTGACCATCAACTTCCTAGCGACAATATCTTACAGAACAGGTATAAAGGGCTCGCTAGGATGAGGGGAATCTTCGTGCCCGGTGCCCACTTTCATTTCTTCCAACCTCTTCTTTCTTTTTTTCGTGCCTTCTTGTTCTATCTCATTGGTGCTTGGTTGCCATGAGATTTTTTCGTACTTCAACTGTGCCTGTGGTTTTCACCACTTTGTTGGTTCTTCACGATGTGACGGCTCTTCCCACCGGGATCGATGGAGGTTTGGACAAGCGCGCCACCAATTGTGGTGACGGAGGTCCAGGGCCATGCATATGCAACAATGCGCTCAGCTTGCGCAAGAAATCGTTGAAATGTCCGAACCAGTCTTTCAAGTTCGCCAGCACGCAGCCAACCGACGGCACCATGAAGAAGTTCAATGTACGTCCTCGGATCCCGTGTCGTTCTCTCACCAGTGGCTAAACTTCACTCGCCAGGATAATCGCGGAAGTCTTCAGTGTGGTGCGTGCCATGAAGGCAAGAGGCCCGAACGTTGTTGACTCCTTTCACTTTCAGATCACTTGGTTGAACTTCAGTACATTGGAGAGGAGATCGATAAGGTTGCTTCAATTTGCACCCATTTCACCTCCCCAGCAGGCACTGCGGATTATCAGAGCTTCTTCGACACCATCAACGACACACCCAGACTCGTGTTTGTGGACAGTAAAGTCAACAATGCGAAAGGTTTCTTGTTCAGCGGCAAGGGTTTTGGAGCAAAGTCAGATTCAAAGACCGCTGTACGTGCTTTTACTGTCCTTGTTGATAGAATTTGGCTTAACCCGTGCCTGTGTTTACAGAAAGGCGTAGCGAGCTATCTCAAACTTATCAAGAGCGACGCCAAATCGTCCGCAGATATCATCAAGAGTAAGATGGACACTATCATGGGTGGGGTGGCTGGTGGTAGCAGCTTTGGCGCCGGGTTCGTCTCAGGATATACTTCGGAAATTGACAGTCTGGCCGCCAAGTGAGTCTTCATTCTTCTCTGCAGTGCACACTATCGTTGATTGCATGCCATGTTCTCGTCCTTAGAGCTACCGCCGCTGCTAAAACCCTTCCAAACCCTCCCGCACCAGGCGATATATTTGTTGACGAGACGGATTCGACAATCGCAAAGTGTAAGCGGTCCTTCTGGATCGAAGCTCGTGATTATATCGTCGCGAGGGCCACGGGAAAGAAGCCACCGCCAGCGGCGAAGGCTTGCCCGATTGTGAGTGTAATGTCGTTCCACATTGTGCCTCACAACTGAATCATCTATAGAAACCCCCTGCCAAGGCTCCCGCGAAAACCCCCGCTAAGGCCCCGGCAAAAGCCCCCGCAAAGAAGCCCGCTAAGGCCCCAGCAAAGGCCCCGGCTAAAGCACCTGCTAAAGCCCCTGCTAAAGCCCCTGCAAAGGCTCCGGCGAAGGCACCTGCAAAGGCCCCTGCCAAGGCCCCCGCCAAAGCGCCTGCGAAAGCTCCGGCAAAGACACCCGCCAAAGCGCCTGCAAAGAAGCCCACAACCACAAAGACCGCGGCGAAGAAACCAGCCACCAAGGCCCCGGCGAAGAAACCGGCTACCAAGACTGCAGCAAAGAAGCCCGTAGCAAAGAAACCTGCCACCAAGAAACCCGCCGCCAAGAAACCAGTCACGAAGAAGCCAGTTGCGAAGAAAACTGCGAAGAAGCCAGTCAAGAAGGCCGCTAAGAAGAAGGGAAAGAGGTTGGCAGCAGGTATGTTTGACCGTACGATCATTTGAAAGGAGTTCAAGAGTTGTTCTCATGTGCTATTCTCTTCGCAGATGACTATTGAATGAATCACCGTATCATAAATACTCTGTGTACTATGTGTACTATAATGTAGCACTAGTGTACAAGCTCCAGCCAATCATCAATGACGAATGGATTAGCCATATCGGCATTGCTGCACTGCCACTTGAGAGTAGAATGGACCCACAATGATCTACAGCACTCACTCTGAGAAAGTCTCGGGCTCTCGTATGTCGCGCTCTCTCTTCCAGCCTCATCTATCTGCTCAGTGCTGGGCTCTACTGACGCGAAGGTTGTACCAATTGACCTTGGTTCACTTGCGATTTACATAAGTAAAAGTTCGCAACCCTGCCGGAACCCCGCTTCCGTTCCTTTCCTCTTCACCACCACGATGATTTTCCTTCGTCTCGCTCGACAGAGGGTGCGCGGCTATGCTACACAATCCACAGCTAGCTTGAGTAGAACCGGTCTCTATGACTTTCATCTCAAAAATGGCGCGAAAATGGTCCCATTCGCCGGTTTTGAGATGCCCTTGAGCTATGGGGACGTTGGGCAAGGTGTGTTCTCACCTCATTCCTTCCTTTTTTGAGCTCATAGCTCAGGCTGACGAACTGGAGCTGTTAGTTGCCAGCCATAACCACGTACGAACTAGTGCGGGTCTATTCGATGTTGGCCATATGGTGCAGTCAAAGTGAGGGAGCTGTCTGTCTCTGCGTCGACCCATCCAGTGATTGACCTTGCTACTTTCAGCTTCCGGGGAGCGACTGCTACGAAATTCCTGGAATGGCTTACCCCTTCATCAATTTCTGCTCTGAAACCGTACCAATCAACACTGTCCGTCTTGCTCAACGAAAAGGGTGGAATTATCGATGATACAGTCGTTACGAAACATGCCGAAGACGCGTTCTACGTTGTAACGAATGCTGGACGACGAGACAGAGATCTACAGTGGTTTAAGGAGAAGCTGGACGAGTGGAATTCGACCAATGGACAGGGAAAAGGTGCCAATGTTGAGATGGAAGTGTTGGAAGGCTGGGGATTGTTGGCCCTCCAAGGTCCGTTTTTCGTTCATTTGGCTGGTAAAGCTGGCACTCAAATGCTTGAAACAGGTCCTGAGGCAGCGTCGTACTTACAGACCCTTACGCCGTTCGACCTGAAGACATTACCGTTCGGGACTTCGGCATGGGTGCCAATTGAAGGTTTCAATCTTCATGTCGCCCGAGGAGGATATACGGGAGAGGATGGCTTCGAGGTATGCACCGTTGCAGGGTTTGACGTTACCATGCTTATCAGACCTGTAGATCTCGATTCCACCTGCGAACACGGTAGAGGTTGCGGAGCTGCTGACCAAAGACCCTAAGGTGGTCCAGCTTACAGGTCTTGGTGCTAGGGATTCATTGAGACTGGAAGCAGGGATGTGTTTGTATGGCAATGATTTGGATGAGACGACTTCGCCTGTTGAGGCTGGTCTAACATG